TTAAAATTAAGGAATTTATTATCTTAGGGTAACTCAGTGAAAGAAAATATCTTTCTTAGTTACTTTTTTTCAGCGCTTCATCCTTGGCTGTGTAGTTTTGGAAGACGAGCCAGTACTGGGCATTTTGCTTAGGGTTTGTTGCTTTGTTTTTTTTTTTCCTGTTACCTTTGCTGAGGATGCCCTTGTCTTGAAAATTTGTCAGAATAACAACTGATCATAAATTAATGTGCATTTTAAATATTTATTTACATATTAAATCCTATGCCAGATAGGATGTTATAAAGTTTAGTCTGTGGAACAGAAAGAAAACAATAGAAATGGTAATTCATGATTTCATAAAATTGCTTAATTTTATGTGAAGGAAATATGTCAGAAAAGCAGTTCTAGTATTAAGTAATTTTGCAACTAGCATTTAGCAGTAGTTTTAGTGAAGGACATTTGGTTTCCCTACAGCTATTCTGAACTTTAATATAATGTGTTTATTTTCTTTCAGTTACACATTTGCATCTGGTTCTCCAGATAATATTAAGCAGTGGAAATTCCCAGATGGAAACTTCATTCAGAACCTCTCTGGCCACAATGCTATTATCAACACGCTGGCTGTAAATTCTGATGGTGTTCTGGTCTCAGGAGGTAAAAATGAGAAATACACATTTCCTCTCCACTCCCTCATGTACATGTGGCTGCAGGTCTTTAGGCAAAGATGCTCACTTGAGCTCTGCTTTATCTGGGCCTATAAGTCTGCTACAGCACACCATTTCATTTATAGTGAGTTGGGCCAGTTTTAAATTCTTGGATGTTACTGAGCTGCATGCACAAAAATGTATTTGAAGGACTTCTAATGTGCTGCAGGGAAGAGGTTTCCTCTTCTCCACTGGCTGCTGTTGCAAGGCTACAGAGTCCCTCCATTATGATCTGCTGATCATTAGTGCCTCCTCAAGAGTTAGTGACATGACGATGCAGTGACAATGGATAGAGGATATAGAAACATTTTGTGAAAGCTTGCTATACTGCTTTGGTGTGGATCCTTCCCTGGTTTTTTTATGCAGCACAAATGCATTGGCTCTGTTATCTTCAAGTTTTTTGCACGTATTTTCTGATGTTGTCTTTGTGTCTATTAAAAGAGTGATAGCTAATCTCCAAATTTTATTTGGTCCTGTGAATCAAAGTCATGTTTACGCAGCAGTATTAAATGTTCTTAAATTAAGAAACCAGCCACTTGGCTCCAGTGCCTGTGGGAGGATTTTGTGTCTATTGTTATACATCAGTTTAATTCTTTCATTCAAAAACTTCAAGGATTTAATATCCTGTGATACATTAGAGTATTGTTACTGGTCTGTGAACTCCCAAAGTCTTAGAACTATTAGTTTGTGTTCATGTACCTGTATTGTGGGAGTAGAAAAAGCATCCTGAATGCTTACTGTTATCTGATCATGAATAGTTTAATGTAATAACATTTATCTCATATTGTAGGTAGCATTTTTCTCTATATTACATGACACTGTAATAAAAATCTTTTATTCCAAATATGTGTTACTGAAACCATAATCTGAGAGTTTTTTATGTTTGTACAAGACTATTTTTAGTGGCAAGCTTTTTGGAAAGTGGCTTCTAGAAATCTCAGCTGGATCTATTTGTTAAGGCACTGTGCCTGCATAGGAGGGAGAGGGGTACATGTGTTTATAATGTAGTTGCTGTTATAAACAGGAAATGAGTAAACAGTGTGGAAAAAGGAAGTGCTAATTTTACAACTTGAGAGATGAGCTCTAGAGAAACAGTCTTAAGATTGCGTGGGAAAACACAGTTACAGCAGGAGGCTAAACCCAAATCTCTGAGGTCCTAGACTAGTTGCTGGGAGAGCTCTAGCAGTCTGAGGCAAATTGAGAGGTGAGACTGTATCGCTCCACACAACTTGCAGAGCCTGAATTTTCATCTCTTGGTTTTGTCTAACCTTTTGGGTAGTTGCAAACAAGGATGGGACTCAATTCACAGCATCACAGGTGATAAGACAGTCTAAGACAGTTCAATGAACTTGCAGAGGGATACTTACGAAAAACATTTCTGTGTTTGTAACCAGAGCATAAAAAGAATAAAGTTAAGTTACACCGTGAAACACTGAAATGCACTTGGTCATTTAATACAGTATGTGCTATAGGCTGGGGATGTGAAGTAGGATGGAAATGTGCTAAGCAGGAGTTGGAAAATAGCCAGTTATATTGCCTGGTTATGTTTTCAGGTATGTATAATAATTTGGATAAAGCCGTGTTTGACAACTGGCTCATTCATAGTGAGAACAAGAACTTAACAAGAACTTAACAAAATACTTTCATTGTTATTTGAAGACACTTCTAGAACATCCTTGTAAGACTTTTCTATGTTAGTAGTAGAGTCTTAAAAAAACCCTTTTCCTTCTCCACATAAAAACCCCACTATTATTTTAAGTATTTTATTTGTGACTTTTTAAAAATAAAATCTGAATATTGATTCCCCCCTTTACATCCTCATGCTATCTACAGCAACTTCAAAGAAGTTGATGTTACCTTCGAGTATTCTACTGTAGAAATACCCTTCTTGAAACATCTGCATTTCTTGTTGAGGTGGCAACTGTGGAGAAATTTAAATTTTAATAGATCTGCTTCAGCTAGATAATGCTTTGGGAGGGTATTGTTTTTCATAACTGAAAAATTGTCTTGAGAGCATCCTTCTGAATACAGAGTTCAGATTGCTGTGAATGCCCTGTAGCTGATGCCAGTAGCAGTGAAATGGCAGTGGTTTAACCTGTATTTGGAATAAAACATCTTTAAACATTAAACCTATTTTGCATTACATAAGAGTCCTAAATGTCCTAATCTCTTTGGCAGGACGATGCCTCTTTGTTCAGCTTTAGTGGAGCTACTGAACAGGGAGCTTGATATTCAGAATGCCAGTCCTTACTGTGCTTCCAAAGCAACTTGCTGCAATTGCCTTTTAATGTAGTGTATCATCTCTCTGGGTTGTCTGATGAAAACTGAATGAGATTGTGAGGAAGCTTCCATCAGCCTTTCTTAACTAAGAAGGAAAACAGCAGAAAATCAGAAAACTTTCAGGGTATACTGAGCTATTCTACATGAATGTTATATGATGTATTCCTGATGTATTTATTAGTTGTTAATGATACTGTTTTTAGCAAACAGATACAAATTAACTGGTCAAAATACTAAGTTTGTTTGTTTGTTTGTTTTAGCTGATAATGGTACTATGCATCTTTGGGACTGGAGAACTGGATACAACTTCCAGAGAGTACATGCAGCTGTACAGCCAGGCTCTTTGGACAGTGAATCGGGAATATTTGCTTGTGTTTTTGACCAGTCAGAAAGCAGATTGCTAACTGCTGAAGCTGATAAAACCATAAAAGTATACAAAGAAGATGACACTGCGGTATGTCAAAGTGTCTTTTTAAAGTATTTTCAGGAAATAAAAAAAAAATTCCAACAAATATAACACGTCTATAGGGGACATGTACAGATTTGTGTAATCCATTTTATTGAAGTTTGAAAGCCATATGTAATAGCATTAAGAGGTAGGTAGTTTCTGCATTCCTAATTCTTATTATATGCTATAGTACAAGTAAGTGTTAGGTCTGTCAACTCTTCTGCAAAAGACCTTTGTGATGAAGTTTGGAGAAATCTGAATACAATAACGTACATTGTGTTTTGAACCCAGTGGGGAACTGTGTGTGGTTGTATTGATCAAAACATGGGAATTAGCAAAAGGATTGCACTTTGAAGATTTATTGTACTTCTGTATATGATCTAGTTACTGGCCTTGACCATTTTGAGAATTCAGAGTAGCTGATTTCCAAACTGTTATTCTCAAATCTGAATCCATTTACCGATGGAGAAGACAATAGGTGATTGTATAGTTTATCGGTGTATGTCTTCAATACAAAGAATGTAAGGATTTTTATTATACCTTGGAATTTTTGCACCGAATTAGACTTGGAGCAACTCTTAGATATAAAGGAATAAGAAATGTCGTATCCATTTTGCAGTTGGGCAAACTGGAGACTCCGTGGCATCTGCCAATACTGATGGAGGTATCTCTGGATGGACTGTAACTGGGATTCTTGTTCATATGCTTTGATAAGCACAATGTTGTTTCTGAAATGCCATTGGCAACTTGATTTTTTTGCCTTATTAGAAAAAGAAAAGAGAACAGAACAAGTGTTGCTATGATATGATAGAAAATTTCATCTGGGTAAATTAATTACATAGTAAATTAGGTATTTATAATACTACATACAAAATAGAGTATATATACTTGATAAGTAATATTTTAATCTAAATCCTAATTATAGGTGAGTTTCAAGTTTAAAATAATCCTTACAAGATTTTTCTTTTCCCTTTAGACTGAAGAAACTCATCCTGTCAGCTGGAAACCAGAAATTATCAAGAGAAAACGATTTTAATGCGGCAACATACTACTTCTGTAATTCTGTTTTGGCCTTCCTGAGAGCTTTCAGTCACATTTTGTTCTGCCTAGAACAGCAGAGCAAAAAGTCAGCTAAGTCATTGCTATTTCAACATGTTTTATAATAAATTTTATTTCTCTTTCCTTTTGTCTTTCTTTGTTGTGATCCCAGCAAACCAGTTGCAGCTGTTAACTTTGTGGAGCATGTATAGTTCATGAAAAGGATAGATGTGCAGGTGGTTATTTTTTTAGACTTACACACTCAATAGATTCTTATAAAAATATTTTGATGAGCTAAGTTTTCTGAAAGACCCTTGTTTGACCTCAAAAGTTAATTACAAATTTATGCATAGGAGCCATCTTCTGGGAATTTCTTGGGGATGCTTGGATTTTAGACCAGTATAGTTTACTGTACATATGCTAAATAGATACTAAATTAGAGTAACAGAGTAATCTAGAAACAAGCAGAACAACGCAATAATAAGGTAGTTTGCTTTATAAACACAGCCACTGAGCATTGTTGGTGCTGTGTTATGGAATGAAATGGATCTTCAAAGTGTTTCTTTCCCTAGGAATGCTTTCAAATGCAAGTACTCATCTTCACTTATATTATTTCAGATTGGACCTTCTGTAGCAAGGACTGTTGTCAAATCATATTGTTCACAGTTGCTGCAGGGTTAGGACCAGTTGACTTCCTTTGTAAATCAGCTGTTTTTTCCACTTATCTAAAGCATATATGACAGGAGAGTCCAGTGAACTTTTAAAACTGAGCTTGAGGGAAAATGCTTAAGTAATTTAAGCCTTAATTTTACAGTTTGCTGTCTTCCCATGATTTTAGGAAGGAGTTTAAAATAAACTCTTTCTGAAAGATAATTTGTACTTCTGAAGGGACAAATCGTTTATTGGCTTTACAAATAGTCACATGACAAGCACTGAACATATAAGCCTCCTTGCTACTGTTTATCTGTCTTGTCTGTGCTGCTCTTAAGTGCTTCATAGGGCAGTGGAGAAAATCATTAAGTTATCAGACCATTCAGTTGTTGGCAACTTTGCTAGTGGTGTTAATAGCTGCACTGGCAAGTTTCATGCTGGGTAGATGCTGAGAATTAATCTGTGGCCACAGCACTGATAGCAAGCAGTTCACAATAATTATTTCTACTTGCCAGCCTGTCTTCTTTCAAATCTGAGATTTATGTTAGAGAAATGAGTTATTTGCAATGTAACTTACAGAAAGCTAGTAAAACTAAGTGTTGTTTATATTATGAGAATTTTTGTCTTTTTTATGATGCACAGGAGGTCTTGTATTTATACTCTGAATGTTTGACAATGTCATTTTAAGGAAGTCCATGCTGCATAAATAACTGAATTTTGGTTGACAGCTATTGTCTAAAGCAACTTCACAAAAAAGGTGGGGAGTATTTGGTATTTATGAGTTGGATTAAACATCTTTTATTTGAATGGTAACTTGAATTTTTCTGGATCTTGATTACTGCTCTTTCCATTTTAACTAACATAAGAGGTAACAATACAGGTTATGGCTTATGCATGTTTGTACCGCTGCTAATGATTCGTTCCAGAAATCCATGAATTATTGCTGTTACACAGAATTTTCTTGCTCACGCTGAAATCCTCTTTAGCAAACTAGAGTGGAGAGAAAGAACTTACTTGAAAATGGGTGGGATTGTAGAGGATTTTTGTTTTTTAAGAAGTGTCCATTTCTTTTGATAGTTTGGAATTAGGATGGAGAAATTATGGATCTTGGCTCACTGTTCTAGCACATCTTTTCTGTACTGATATTTTCCTTTAGAAACTGCATTTATTACACTTTTTATCACTTTGAAGAGATATCAGAAAGTCTCCTGAAGAACCTGTGTTTCTTCTCTGGACTTCTGTGGGAATCTGCTATCATGGGGCAGTGGTTGCCTGGGCATTCTTTTTTGTGCCCTAGGTAAAGATTTGGTTTGTAAATTAAAGGCTGTGCACTATTACTTGAGATAATGCATTTCCTTTTTGGCTTTCTAATATGTTGTCCCAGTTCTAATTGTGATTTTTTTTTTTCTTATTTGTATTCTTGAGCATTTGATTTACTTTTTCGTTTCCTTCCCAGCAGTTTTTTCTTCCCCTTGACAGTAAAGTGAATATCATCACATACACTTCTGTAAATATTGTTTATGGTACATCAAGATTATTAGATATCATTTAACTGCTTCTCTAGTTCAAAACAAGCCTAGATAGTGAGTTGTGACACACATAGGTCTGATCGTGTAGGATACAAAGTGACATTAGATTTGTCCATGTAAGTCATAAGGTGAAGCAGAAGAGGAGGGTCTCGTCTACTGGGTGTATTTCCATGGTTCTGGAAAGCATCGCACTGCAATGTCAGTTTAAGTAATCTTGAATGGGACTCTAATCTCAGAAAATAATTATTGTCCTTAGTTTCATAAAATTTGATGTTGTCTTCTGTATATGATCAAATAATTTCTACCACAAACCCTGAGTTTTGTTTTATACTGTACATAATTGCAGAGAAGTAAGAAAATGGTTTTTGTTTGTAACATAAAAAAGTGTAACTGGTAACAGGGATAAATCTCAAGATCACTCTTGGCTGTATACTGAAGCATTTAGCTGTGCAGCTAAAATGCTGTTGTTTGCTGGCAGCAAGAAAGTTGTGCAGAACAGTATGTCTTTGGCAACTTAAAGGCTTACAGATGTTAAGTCTTTAATAGCCAATTACTTTTTAGTTCTGTCGGGTTAGAATTAAAGTGCACCTGATGTGACAGCAATTTAGCCATCAATAAAACCTTCCATACAATATGAATTCATGTCTTTTTTTCCATTATGGTTTTTGTAGTAAGAAGAATAAAAAACAACTAAATATGTATTGAAAATGAAAGGAATTTAGGATTAGAATGGACTGTTTCCCGTAGTACAGTGACAAATATTTTTGTTTATCAGCTGTAATGGAAAGAGAGAAATTATTGATTGTTATTTTCTGGAGAGCTTCTGGTCTGCATGAAGGGACTAGCAAAACAAATGCAGAATTGTTCATGTATTTTCTCTAACATGTTTAAAAAAAAAAATTCAAACATCTCTGGAGTTAAGTATGAGTTCTAAGATGACTTGTGGATGAGAGCTTTGTGGGTGGAAGAAAACTTAAACTAATTTTGTCTTAATGGGAGCAAATTAAAAGAATATTTCTCTACATGTCATGTGAAAATTTGATCATGAAATCAATGGGGGTTTTATCACTGAATTTTGAAGTCATTATTTCACACAGTGAGTTTTTGTTGTTTGGTTTGGGTTTTATTTTTTTTTCCCCTCCAGTGAGTTGGAAAAACTGTCAATCTGGCATGTCACGTATATAAGTATCAACACCGGATGTATTGATTTTGTACCCAAAATGCCTCATTCTTTTTTAGATGAGGCTTCTAAACTTTAAATAATACACCCAAGGAAATGCTGCATATTTGGAAATTAATGAATGCCAGTAAGCCTGATCAGCTAAAAAAGCGTCAACCTGCAATCTTATTCTACAAAGTTAACACTAGATTAGTAGGACTTGAAACTAGCATAAATATGACTTTCTGTGGAAGCTGTTCCATAAGCAGAATATGCAGTTGTTGAATCACTTTGGTCCTTTGAAACTTGGCAGGCAGGTAACTACAGATTTCACTGGTGGTCATTTAGGTAGAGCTTGTCACTTTGGGAGATTCCCAGATGATGCTTCTTTAATGGCAACAGCTAAGAATCAGTTCTCCGGCTTTTACATCTTGAAGTCTTACGAATTTACTTCTGTGCTTAGTAGGAAAGAAACTGGCTGAAAACTGGCAAAAAAAAGTTGGATGAAAAATGAATGGCCGTTCCCTTCTGAAGATGATTCAAGACTTTTGATGCTCTGAGGGGAATCTGCATTTCTTGTTTTGATACTGAGTAAGGATCTGAAGTGAACTCTGATTACAGGACTAGCAAAATGCAAATGCTTCTGTGAACACTTTTTCACGTGCATTTTTCCTATGCTTCCTTATCTTATAAAACCAAATTAATCAGGAGTCACGCAGCACTGTTATCAGAAACTTGAAAAATACCTGCATAAGCATTCATAAATTTTGATGTTGGAAATTACCTTGAGAGGTTTTCCAGCAAAATAACCAAATCTAGCCAAGAGAATTTTCTCTTTAATTAGAATGTATTCTACCAATTGCTGTAAAGCAGTGCTCAGATATTTTTTAAGATATATGTCAAACTCTGTAAGGTGTATTTGCTTTAGATGGGAACTGTGGAGTTTCTAGATGTGGACTGGTTTGTTTTTTTGTTTGTTTGTTTGTTTGTTTGTTTTTCAAAATATTCTCTTGAAAATCTTTTAAATAATTTGATTTCAGGGATTTGCAGGATTAACCCATAGGTGTTATTGTTTTCCTATTGCTGCTTGTATTGAATCTACGTAGTATAGGCTTTGTAATGTTTAGTTGTGTACCTTCAAGTCAATAACATGTTAAGTTCCTTCAGATGCATGTTGTTACCAGGGTTTTGTTAACCTTTCTTTGGGGTTTTTGTTTTGAATATAGAGCACACAAGCCCCAAACTTGTTTCTAAAGCATGGATTCATGGATTAATTGGGGCACCTGCCTGCAAATTAGACCTCAGCAGTACAAACAACAATTGAGCTAAATGTCTGTCTCCAGTGAAGGAAGATTAAAATCACTTACAAGAGAACTAGAGTTGAAAACGTTTGGCAAAACTGTATTGTGCTGGGGCTTTTTCCTTTCCTCGAGAAAAACTCCATACTTTACCCTTGTGTTTAAGAAGTGCAGATAATGTGTGAAACGCTCGTTTCTGCCAATATTTTTTTTGCAGCCTCTGCTTCATTTTTTAGGGAGAACATGTGTCTTTGCAAGACATGTCACCTTTGCTCTTTCTGTTGCAGTAACAACTCTTGGATGCTGCAAATATCTTTTTTTCTAGCTGAGAGAAGGGATGAAGGGTTAAGCCCTTCAGAGCAAGGGAGAGTCAATGCAAGGGAGAGTCAATGCAGCATCAGTATGAATTATGAGTACCAAGGGGTACACCTACAGAAAAATAACACTTCCTAGAGACCAGATGAGAAGGAACTGTGATTAACTGAAACCTCTGAGAGAGGTGAAAAGGACAGTGGAAAAACTAAGATTAGAAGAGACTAGAGCTATGACATCTGAAAGGAAATATTTGAAAACTTGCTGCATTTACTTGTCAGGCTGGAGTAGAGGAGGCATTTCTGGATTAGATAAATGCTGCATGGGTATAAATGATAGAATGGAAAAGCAACACTGTGTTAATGTGGGTGCAGCCAATGGTGAAAATGAAAATGTGGGCACCCTGATGCAAATAAATCTCTTGACAGCAATCTATAAATGCATTTATGGGAAGTGCAGGTAGTATGTGTGCATGTTCTGGTGCCCTCAAGCTCTGATACCCAAGATACTGTAGAAAATTCATTGGCACGTGGAGAATTGCGGAGCAATGTACAATGATGAGTCTGGAGGGGTTTGCAGCTGCACTGGGGTTTTTACTGAGGAAGTGCTTGGAAGCACAATCCTAAACAAGGATTAAGAGTACAGTGTGAAGAGTGAAGCTAAAGTTTGCATGATGAATATCTTTAAAAGATGGGATAATTTTTTTTTACAGCTGATTGAATGTAAGGATTACCTTACAACACCAAGTTTGTTTCTTTCTGGTAGGTAAACGGTGAACTGAGGAATGAGATGTGAGTTTATAGCCACAGAATGTCATGCTGACAGGATGCTTTGCTGTTGGGAGACTATTGTGATAAGTAAGAGTGTAGCTTGTGAGATCAGAAAAACTTTTGTGCTGCATCCAACAGCGTTGGGGTTTTTTTAACTGGGAAAAGACACTATGAATCATAACATGACTTAACTATTTCCAAGTAAATCCCCTTGACAAGCAAACTTCCTGCATTGACAACTAGAGATCTGCTCTCAGTAAAGGAGCAATATAGATTATGGATAGAAAAATTCCATACAAAAATTTGAGCATGGCTTCAGCTGCCAGATGAGTCAAATTTCATGTCCTGTAAGTATATTAATTCTTTCCTGCTCCTTTAATTTCTTTTCTTCCCGTGCAACATGATAATGAGCATGCTTCTTTTAAAGAAAGCATAGCAATGGAAACCCAGAATCGATTAATTCTGCTAATGACTTTGTTCTATTTTGCAACTGAATATCCCACTGAGGTAGTTTTATTATTCTGTGTTGCTCTAAATCAGTGTTTTAACAGGAAATTCAAAAGTAACTAGCAACTCAGTCATGGTAGCTAAATGAAATTACAGATAAAATTGATTGCTGCTAATTTAAATTAACATAGTGAAATGTAGTTTCTTCTTCTTACTGAGCAAACCTGTTGTGGGTGGGGTTTTTTTTTTATTATTTGTAGGTGAGGCTGTAAATGTCCTTTAATTATATGAGGAAAGAAAACTGCTCCTGGTGTTTCTCCAGTTTTAGTGGTGTTGGTACATGCATTTACCAGGTTAATGATGCAGTTTTTCTCTAGCCATTAAAATAGAATGTGCTGAAAATGGCACAGCATGTTTCAAACTTTCACACACTGAAGAAAAGGTCCACACACTTTGCGTAACATAATCCTGCGGTAGTGCATTTTTTGGTGTATTCTCTCACAGGTTTCAGTTTCTCCTTCCTTTTTGTTTTTAGGCAACTTTTATGCTAAGACATGGGAAGCTATCTCTAGCCTGTATTTTAGCCTGATTAATTATGATCTGGTAACTCCTTTCTTTTCTTCCTTTCCCCCAAACTTGTCCTGGCCTTCTTCCATCAACAACATCCCTGAGGAGCCTGTGAGATCCTCAGCTGTTCTGGAGAGTTTCACGTTGTCCAGGTGCAGTGCGCAGTGCTATGGATTGCTCTTTCAGGTCCCTATGTGGCTTAGCCTCGCTGCATCAGACATTGACAGAACTATGCAGTGGGAGTGTTCTGTAATGGGAAGTTGTTCTTGGAGACAGGGAAAATATTGACTGGATAACCTGATATGTGACCTGATGCTGACAGGTAACTGTTCTGCCCCCACCTTCCCAGTTCTCACTGTACTTGATTTTTCTTGAGTAATCCTAGTGATACAGCACACTGTGTTTAAAATGCACCAGTGGTTGTTAGCAACACCACACAGTGGTTTTAATAACAAAATCTGACAACAGATTTCACATTCTTGGCAGAAAAACGGCAAGCATTAAAGCCTGAGATGGAATGAGACACACACCAAGGAAACCTAAACCCAAGTGAGGAAGATATTCATGTAAATCATGTCTGTGGGCTTTTTTGTTTTAACCTCATATTCAGCTCAGCAATGTGCCCAGTGAAGTTGTTTAGCCTCCACTTACCACTAGGAAAAGTTCAGACCAACCCAGTTGACTGTCCTGCAAAATGCTTTGTATTGCTGAAGCTGAGCAGGGGAAATTCTGGTGAGGGAATGCCAAAATGTCTGTGACTGAAAAGCTGTCCTTGTGATGAGAAAGTGTCTAGCCTTTTCTGTTTCACAATTCCCTAATTTCTTAAACCCCATAAATAGTTGCTATGAACAGTGTAGTAAATAGATTTGGTATTGCAGGTAATACAGATCTTTAAATTATGGTCGGAACTTCTAAGTTGTCTTAAAATTGTAGACTCGGGAATACTCCAGGACATATAAGTCTCACAATAACATGGTGCCTATAGAGAAATAAATAAAAAAAAATCACAGACAAAAAGCCATTATAAATAATGGTCACAATTACGAAACGGGAGAACTTTCTACTCTGCAGAATACTGCATCTCC